ATTTTCACCCCATAGGAAGTTCAGGAGAGGATTGGGTCACTAGGGGTCCCCCTACTGGGTTGGGCCCCCTTCACATTGGTGCATTAAAATCACAAGTCAAATATCACTATCAGGTGTTAATAGCCTTATTTAATTTCCACGTGCTAATAGCTTCCGACGTAGCCGCCGGATTGGGTCCAAACATTGATACATTATAGGTCTTACCCCAACCTACCATCCCACCAAGTTTCAACCTCCTAGCATCATCAGGGGTCGAGAAATTACGAAAAGTGAGTTTTGTTTACATAGGGCGTAGTACCGGAAGTAATAACCGGATGCGTTCAAAATCCCAGCGGTGATCTTCCCTCGCCTAGGGCTACAACATATTGCAATTTGAAGTCACTCTGACCATTAGTTACCGGTTTACAAAAAGTGCTAATTGCATTTTCGGAAATCAATATCACTCGCCCCCAAGTGTCCCAGGGGTCTGAAAATTTGCATGCCCGGCTAAAATCATCTCTATTAGTCACCCACCAATTTTCATAAGGATCGGACCAGTGGTTCCCAATCCGGGGGGGTTTCCAGATTTTTAGCGCTTTCTTCTTTTTTCCAATTCTTCGCCCTAGAGGCCAAATTCAAGGTGCAAAGTCCGATTACGATTGTTTGCTCTCAAACTAAGCTTATCTATCACTGAATTTCATTGCTACAAGTTCATACAGTCAGTTTACGTTAAAATCAAATTTCGCAATTTTCAACCGTTTTCATCATGAATTACCAATTTTACACTCAGGTTTCTATAGCATGTAATACAGTAGAATCACCAATTCTACACCTCTGCCGCTGAAAACCCATAATTGTAAAGCGGTTTTGCGGCACTTATTGAGTTCAACCTCTACACAGGTTCGACCCAAATAGCACTCTCTAAATACGAGCGCGGAAATGGCGCGAAAAAATAAGAACAATGTCTAGTTTTGAAAGTGGAATTTAATATTTAGATTTCCAGGGAATGACAATTTTACCTATTGATCAAGTTTTCTCAAATTGGGTTATTTTAACAAAAAAGTGTCTACCATAAATTGGCCGTCTAATTTTTCCTCCGAAATTCAAAAGGTTTTTTTTTTTTCAGTTTCCTTGCGTTCATTACTCTTTTCCACCTGTAAGTTGGCTGTTTTCATTGCATAGGTTTTGCTGATTACATTGATGATTTTATATGATTTGCTTGAGTTTTTGTGAGCTCAACTAAAATGTATTGCTCATTTTGTCGATTCATTTCAGTTTTTGTTGAGTTTTTGTTATTTCTATTATTCAATTACGTTTTTTTCTTAGCTAAATCTTGATTTGAATAGACCTTAATGCATTTTTGAATATGTTTGTTTTGTGTTTTTAGAGTGGGTGTGGGAAGTGGGTGGGGTTGGATCTGAAGAGTGGGGCGAGTATGGACCCGGTGGAGGGGGGAGTGCTGGACAACTATTGTGTGAAGAGACAACTCATTCACTCCTCCACTGTGATAGCCTCCAATCTACTCTTAGTGGATGAAGTCATGAAGGCTGGCATGTCTTCTCTCAAGGGATAGACACACACACACACATGTACTAGACACACATACACACACAGTGACACACGCATGGTTGACTTGTTAATTAACGCTAACCATAGTTATCAAAACTTTTTAAGCCACCATCTAACAACTAGTTTTTAACCCCAGGGGCTAATACGAAAAAAAAAATGTTTTTAAAAGTCAAGTTTAAAAACGCACTGTACCATTGCACTGCTGAAATACGCTCTCTATTTATGATAGAGCAAATGGTCAAAAAACGAACAATTTCTAGTTTCGATATTCGAAGTTGATTTCGCTTTTTTTTCAGTCTTAAAATTTGTTCAGGCTCAAATATACGTTTTCGCAGTTTGACTTCTGATGTCTTTTTAAGTTCAGTTCATTTCCTTTGTTAAAAGAAAGGCAAACTACAATATCGGACAGCAAAATTGTAAAGGTCACGAAAAACGTGAGCGACTTCTAGTATTGAAAATGGAAATTAATTATCAGATTTCCCAGCAAAATATAAAAGAATAACTAGTGATCCAGTTTTCTCAAATTGGGTTAATTTGATGAAAACAGTGTCTATCATTAATTGTTCTAGTTATTTAAAGAGCTTTAAGGCCATCTATTTTTTACTCTTCCAACTGTCTGTTGGCTCTGTTTTTTTTTCGGCCGCTTGGTGACAAGTTGTTTCTCAGAAAGGAAAAAAAACATAGCTAACCAATTAACACAAATACCAAAGCGTGTAAAAAGTCAACTCTGCTTAAAGAGAAAATACAGAAGATGGAGAAGGTATCTACCTATCAGAGAACATGGGAGCAACTTTTACAAAGTGAAGTTTAAGGCAGACGAAAACAGCAATCGATCAAAATGGAACTATTTAAGTGCAAATATTGGATGATGTTTACAGTGGATGAATGCAACTGAGAGAATAGAAATAACAACTAAGAACTGGTGATTGAAGTTGTTTATGTTGAACAGTTCACTTCGGGTGATTATTGGAAAAGAAAGCATTAATCATTGTCATCAACACTGAATTGAATTCGGATTACTAGCAATTACACATCTCTAAATTTAAATCATCTTCTTTTCTGATTTTAACTGCTTGCCAACTTTGAAAATATTTGATGATATCTGATAATTTTTGGGCTAAATAAAAAAAAGACCTCATTTTGCGTGCTATAATGTAGTTGACGTATGTGTCTACGTAGTAAGTATCTGTTGTTTTGTTTGTCTACTTGTAATATATGAAAATGAACTGAAGCTAACTTGTAAATGACAAATAGTTTTTTGCCAGGTATGCACTATCTTATCTTTTTGTTATGATTGATAATTGAACATGAGCTGCTGCAAATTTATTATCTCAAGGCTATTCGATTTTCTCCACAAAAATATCCGTTTGAAATCGCAGTTCTTTCATGCATTGAATGAAGTTGAGTCTTGCTATTGAATGTCTGGCTTTTTTCCAGTTCCCCTCCCACTGTTGTTGTTACATACTGCATCAAAAAGTGTCAGCGTGAACAGGTGAACATTTTTTTTATTTTTACGGGGGTGGGAAACGGGAAAAGAGCCGTGTGTTCACGTTTCAGTGAACGAAGTAGACATTTCAGAGTGTTTTTTGGTTTTCAAAATTGTCATTGAACATTGAACATCATCGCAGTGAAAATTCTTGTACAGGTCATGTTTTCTTGAGAGTGATGAACGCAGTGAGTACTATTATATAGTCTTGGTGATGTTTTCTGTTTTTTTTTTCAAGAAAAAGTCATAAAATTTGTTCGCGTTCAATTTTGATTTTTCGTGGTTTGACCTGATTTCTTTTTAAGGTACTAAGCAAACTCCACTCGCGAACAGCAAAAGTGTAAAGGTCAAGAAAAACTTGAAAGACTGCCAGTTTCCAAAGTGTAATTCATTATATAGATTTCCCAGCGGATTAAAAAAACTTGCCTTTTGATCCAGTTTTTCAAGTTGATTTATTTTAATCAAAAAAGTGTCAATCATAAATTATCGTGGAATTTTTGCTTTCTTGCCTTCCTTACTCTTGTTCAATTGTCAATTGGCTATGTTTATCTATTTTTGGGAAAAGTCTCATAATTTCTTCAGGCTCAAGTTTGATTTTGCGCGATCGACATCTAGGTTCAAAAATGGATTTCAGTTTTCAGATTTTTGAAAGAAGTTATTCCAACTGGGCTTTTTTTCCAGTTTCCCACCCCCTCGAGAAATTACAATTTGGTGAAAATATCAATGGAGAAAATTTTCATGTGGCAATTTGCATGTGAAAATTGTTGTAGCAAACTATTCAGTTGTGCACGCTGACACTTGTTATTGTGGATTAGATTCTTGAATTTAAATTTAAACACTTGTGAAGTGAGTTTTCGAAAAGAATCAAATGGGGGTGGAAAATGGAAAAGAGCCACCAATTGATAGTTTTTTTGTATTTTTTTTCTATTGTATTTTTTTTCCAGAAGTCTAAAAATAACTACAGATGTGCATTCATATACAATCTTGCATAAATGAATGCACTTAGGCATATATGCACTTTTTGAGTTTAATAGAAATTGGTCTGCTGAAAGTGACGTAAATAGCTTACTTCAAATACGAACGTGGAAATGGCGCGAAAAAAAAATAAGAATAATTTCTAGTTTCAAAAGTGGAATTTAAAGTTTAGTTTTCCAGAGGATTGACAGTTTTACCTATTGATCTAGTTTTCTCAAGTTGGTTTGATGTTATCAGAAAAATGCTAGTCATAAATTGTTCTAGAAGTTCAAAGAGCTTAAAGGGCATCTATTTGTTTCATTGAAATTCGAAAGTTGAGATTTTTTTCAGCAAAGTCAAATTTTTTCAATGTTTATTTGCATTCATTACTCTTTTCCAATCTTCGATTGGCTATGTTTTTTTTTTCAAAGCTCCAACCTTAAATTGTTGTAGAAGTTTAAAGATTTAAGGTCATCTATTTTTTTCTGTTGGCTTTGTTCTCTAACTGGAAGTGTTTTACCTCTAATTTGATTTTCGCAGAGTTATATCTTTGCACCGAACCACAGACAAGCAGACAACATATACTCAAAATATAACTAGTTTCCTTCCTGGCTAATAATTGACGCTGAGCCACTCTTCGCTTATTTCTTAAGTAATGTATCGTACTCTTCTGAGGTACTGTGCTAGAAAAAAGATATTCTCTAGTTGTAAATTACCAAGCGTTATCATATCGGGATATAGTCTTTTTTAGGGTTAACTTGTTTTTACAGGATCGCTAGCTCTCTTGGCTCATATTGAGTTCAAGTTTTCAACCATCTCTGGCACACTCCTGTGTTCGCATCAGAGCTTAATATTTGTTTGCTTATGTTCTGTCGGCTTAGTTGCCGCATATTAGATTTTTTTTGCTGTATCCAGTTTCTAAATGTATCAAATTGTGTTTATACGTGTTTTAACCGACCTTGTTCTTCCATCCTCTAATTGTGTGTGTGATTAAGCATTGGCCCTTTCAGTAATGTGAATGTATTAGATGAGTATGGAACATGCCTTGTCTGTTTTGTTGGACCACAGCAAAGAAGCTGAAGTTGTTGGACTGCAGAGCAAAACACACTTGTTGTCACTGCACTCTAGCAGCAGCAGCAGTCCAAATGAAGTAGTTTATTCTCACCAAGCACACCAAACTTCCTTAGAGTCCTCAGCCGAACAACAGCAACAACAACAACAGCAACAGATGAACAGCAGCAGAAGCAACAGTAGTGGCAGTTGTTTGGAACATGTGGGAGCATTCAGCAACCGATTCGATCTGAATGGAACAAATGGACGACGTCGACACAATCACGCCACCAGCACAGCCATAACCGCCAATGGTAAGAAAGATGCTTTGAAAAACACGGAACAGTGGCTGTTAGTTGTTAAGAGCAATGAACGTAGGCAGTACTCTTATATAGGTCTTGATGATTTGTTTATTTTTTTTCAGGAGAAAATATTAAATTTTGTTCACGCTCATTTCTGCTTTGTCGAGATTTTATTTCTAGTTTCGAAAGTAGAATTTATTTATCAGATACCCAGCGAAACAAAAATTTTATCTTTTGATCCAGTTTTCTCAAATTGGGCTAATTTGATCAAAAAAGTGTGAAGCATAATTTGTTGTAGAAACTGAGATATTTTTAAGGCCATATAATTTTTACATGGAACTTCAAAAGCTGATTTTTTTTAATTAGTTTTTTTTGCGTTCATGACTCTTTTTGAACTGTCAGTTGGCTATGTCTTCACTGCTTGATAAGTTTCGTCATTTGCTGGAACGTAAAGATATTTCAGTTCGTGTACCTATCGAAGCACCTCTTATTCATTCAAAAAAGAGCAACCAGAGAATTCTTTGAAGCTTGGTCTTTGCGAGCAAAATAGTTTTGCAGGTCTTTCTGATCGTTTTTACTGAGTTTCAAAAAAGAAACAAACATTTTAAGTAATACCTGCATGTGAACCAGCTATCGATCTCTGTAGAAACTACAAGTAATGATATCTAAACAACTCCTACATGGTAAAATTTTCCTGGAAGCTTCAATAGTTCATATAAATAATGCAACTCGAGCACGGTTAATTTTTTTACCGAATTTTCCCTAGAATAAACTATTTCCGGAGTTTTGAAAAGCATTTAATGCAACAACGTTTTCGAAAACCGAGCAGTTGCAATGAGGCATTAAATCTGGTGCAGCCATCAGCTAAAATTCTATATAGGATAAATGAATTAATGTTTGCTTTCGTACAATCCGAACAAAAAGCCCAATGTTAGATCCTTTGCCGCATTTTTTGGGCACTCACTCTTAGGTCTTCTGTCTGTCCGAAGTCTTCCTGGCTTGCATGCAGTTTTTGCTGGCCTCGTGCACTTGTTGTTCCAGAATGGTTTGCTCATTCGCTCCCATTTCTCCGCACTCCAAACTTCTGGATACATTAACGATTTTTTTTAGCAGATATTACGTTCGGTTCGGATATTTGTCTAGTATTGTTATTATAGAAGAATTGTATGTATTCGTACGTTCTCTCCCCCATCATACCAAAAGTGCAATAATTCAGTTCCTGATTAAGGGTGCATTCCCCTCTGGATCTGAGTCGGCCGCTTTTTGAACTCGTTTGATAAATTAGTGTACACCTTCGCCGCTTGTTTGATCATCTCTTCGATAGATTCCTTCAGTCTTGCTTCCTTTTGGGTCATCAATATTTCCTGGGATGGCTATTTGTATGGCGTCAAATAGTGTTTCGCTTAAAGCCGTCGTAAGTTCTTCACTTAAGATAGCAGCTAGGCGATCTCGTCCATCTTTTCTCTTGTTTTGGAGTGGGATTTTGGTCTGGGAAGGTTCGAAGTGGTCTGATCATTCGTTTGTTCCTTCATCACTATATTTCAAATTAGGATAATTAACACGCGATGTATTTCGTACTATTAAACAGTTAGGCGGCAGCTTAAATCATTCCAACCAAATTGAATGAAAGAAATCAATTTGCTTTTATTAGAGTTTATCAGAAGCAGCATAATATTTAAAAAAACGCCCTAAAGTCAGCCTGTAGTATCTTTTTATTTTTATTTTCAACATAATCATCTCAATCGAGTACTTTTTACCATCATAAGAAACTAAATTGTGTAGCTTTGGAAAAAGGTTTCGATTGTCGTCCCTTAATTATCTCAGTCTGTTTTATCAGGAGAGGGAGTCGGCTCTTAATTCTTACTAAGAGGGTGATTTCGTATAAACGTAGTTGCCATCAATCTGAATTTGGTTTTATGGAAAGTTTAGCAGTTAAACTAAATTGTGCAGTCGACTGAATCGTTGTTGTCGGTATTTTTTCACTCAAGTTGTGAAAGTGTTCACACACAAGGAGCCGACATGTGACGACGTTTTACAATCAACGTCATGAAGTGAAATCTAGGGAGAAATTTTGTCGTCTCCATCATTTGAATCAGTTTCAATGATTAGGCGAGGAAAGATGGAACTCGTTCGACAACAGATGGGAGACAGAAGGAGAGGGAGGGAAAGGGGAAACTGAAACTAATGAGTTGGATCATTCACATGAAGTGTGTGAGGGATACGAGAGCGAGTCTTCTCTGGACAGCAGTTACGAAGACTCTCTTCATATGGCAGCCCTCATTGGCAAGAGTCTCTTAGACAGGTCAGTCTAGTCTATTCCATGTCTTCCCTCCAATTCAAGCCACTCATCAGAAAACAAGAGTCTGTTTATTCGGATCCACTTGATAGAAGAGCATCAGAATTTAACATGTCCTTCCAAAGTTTTTTTTTGCGCCTTAAATCAAAGTGAATTGAGTCTTGATACTGATTTTCTCCAACATTGAACGTTTTTGTAATAAATGATGATTTCGAAACTGTTTGTGTTCGTACCTTTGGTGACCAATGTTGTCTTTTGAGTTATTTTTCATCAAGTTTGAAGCTTCGAAAGATGCTTGCCTTAATTTTAACCACTTGGTTCTGTATAATAATTTAATGCTGATTCTTTCGTCTAGCGTAAAGTAATTGAGTATGCGAAGCCACTCTTCGCTTACCTCTTTTTCAACATTCCTGAGTTACTGTATTTTTTTTTCAATTTTTAGCAACGGTATTCTCAAAGATTTTCACTTTGATGTTTTTAAATCTTAGAAGCTTATGTCAAATCGAAGGTAAGCTTTTGAAATGCGGAATGGATTGTAAAAAGTGATGTCTGATATCATTGCGCCAAGAAAAACAACAGCAAAACCCGGGCTGGTGTTGTGCCACTCTCGTAAAATTTTTGAATTTGTCATATGTTCAATTTAGTTTTACCAAAATCACTGACTCTTTTGCTCGACTCACTATAGTATGTCAAATTTGAAGTAGCGAAACGGCCAGCTTATTAAGGAAGTAACTTTCGTGCTTGGGACAACCAAGGTTATGGGTTCGACCATTTGAAAAAAGGGGAGAACTTTGTATTCAGGTGTGTTTTTTTTTGCTTTTTTTGTTTTTCAGCTCCCACAAACCAGGGTGACCACTTGGTCACTTTTAAAGTTACTAGTCATTTTTCTCACTTTTTTGTCGAAAGTCACTCAAAGTCACTTTTTTGTGTTTTTTAAACATTTTAAAAGTTTTTTTAACATCTTACTGTTGCCTTCATGAGTAGTCCAATAAAATTTGTTCAAAAAATCTTTTTTTTGAGGCAACTAGGATGCTATAGCTATTTAATGAATAAAAAGAACAGGTCACTTTTTTTTCTCGGCTGAGGTGGTGACCCTGCCACAAACAACCATCGGAGAGAGTTGAGTGATATATTATATTAAAGCCCTTACAGTCGGGATTTGAACAAGAATGATTTTTAAAAAAAATCTCGGTGTCGTGAAAAACAGGTTTGAAGTTTTTGGTTTTTCATCTTAGTTCGAGCGAATAAAACGAGCGAGCAGGCTTACAATAGCTATTTTAATAACTTGAAAACTTAAAACGTAAAAACTTAGTTTTGCTTGGTTAATGGTAGATTTTTTCAGTATTTTTACTTTTTTTTGGAACCAAAAAATGAAAAAACTCAAAAACTGCAAAATTGGAAGAATTTTTTTTGATATATATTTTTTCGTTTTTCTAGTCATCTTTTTTTAAAAAAAAACATCTTTGTTTTTGAGTTTGCTGATTTTCTATGAATGTCGAATTTGCTCGTTTTTCAGCTCCTTTTATCACACCATTTCGGAAAAAAACGACATTAATTTGAAAAAAAAATGTGTTTTATAAGACTGCTCGCAACAATATTTGCTACTTGCACAGTAATCGGCTATCCTTGTTTTTTATTAATTTTTGGGACAAGTTTAAGAAGCTTTTTTTGTCGGTTTACTTTCCAAATCATGCAGTTTTCTTCTGGTTGAAGCAAGTTTTGCTGGCAATGAAAAGCGTCTTGATTTGTTTCTGTAAATTGTAAAATTGTCACCTCTGATTTGTATGATTTCTTTGTTTTACTTTCTTTTTCCCGTTTGTTTTGGTCATAATTTTGTTCGGCTTCCATGTTTCTGGCAAAGGTGATATTGGCTTAATCACTTCGTGCTGCGTCGTTTTAAGGGCAAAAATGATTTTTATGCTTTGTTTTTTTTTTTTGGGGGGGGGGGGGGGGGTCTTCTAGTTGCAAAAATTAGTAGATCAAAATATTTTATGATATTTTGTTTCGGTTCATCGATTGTCTACTCGAGATTTGTCGGCTTAGTTGGCGCTCAGTGTTTTTTTTGAATGTGAATTCAACGCTGTCGTTTGTGTTTTTGGATTGGATTTCTCAAATTGAATGTGATTCAAGGCAAACTTATGAAGTTTTTGTAGATGGTGTTTCTTAATGTACATTTTACCGATCTAGTTTGGCTTCGGCTTAAAGGCTTAACGTTAACAACTGTTAGGTATTCTCGAAGGCTGTAAATAACGAACCCTGCGTGTAAGCTTGCCTCGAAGAACCTGAAATTACGATGAGGAATATGGTTCTTTTTCTGTCTGGATATTTTGTTTTGAATGTTTTAACGAAACTACTTTCCAGTCAGATTTTGAACCTCAATGTAATCTGAAATCCAAAATTTCTTTTAATTTTTTTTAACATCAACCTAATTTAGTTGAATTAAATTTCTTTTTAATTGACTCTGTCTGTGTTTTTTCTGCTGCTCTCTGTGTTAGTCTGTGTTGTGTTGTGTTGTGTTAGTCTGTGTTGTGTTGTGTTGTGTAGGAACAGTGAGTTGGAACGACAGCTGTCTGTGTGTGCGAGTGAGTTGAGTGAGAGGGAGAGTGAAGTGAGGGCAATGAGAGTTGAAGTGAGTCAGTTGAGGGCAGAGCAGGAACAGCACACTCACAACAGACAACTCCTGTGTGAACAGACTGAGCAGCACACACTGCAGGTAAAACACATATGTCCTGCCTCTCAAACTTATGCCCATTCATTTGTGCCAACTCAACGTGTACCTTCTTTTACACTTGTTCAATCGCGAAACAATCTATTCCCGTCTCGTCTGTGCTGCTGGCTTCTTGCAGCTCCTGGATACAAACATTTAAGATGAATTATTTGATATGATTAAATTAGTTTTTTTATTTTTTATTGGGGCAAATAGTGATAAGGGTGTAGCCGTAAGTGATCATTAGTGGTTTCTGTCGGATTCAGTGGCACCGGTTGGACATATTGGGTGTGTCATCCGGAACGGATTGGCAAACATAGTTATCTGAAGTATTTATGTTCATATTTATACACTCACTGCGCTGAGTAAATTATGTGGGCCAGTTGACCTTGTACTTGACCTTGTACCAAAGATCCGCCACTAGAATAGTCAAAGTGGGCGGCCAGATTAGAAATGGCAGTATTTGCGAAGGACGGCATCGAAGTCAGAAACTTACTGCGAACCAAACCGCCTTTAGTAGAAACAACAGAGCCTATATACGAAGTAGAAATCACGAGTGAGACGGAGGCCCAAAAGAAAACCGAGAAGTACGAAACAAAGAGAAAAGAGTGTTGTGAAAATAATTGTCTAAATGCACGAAAAAAAAGTGTATCGTGAAACTCATTCCCGTGGGATGAAGCGGACCCAAAAGTACGCAGTTACCTCTTCTTATGCTCAGGCGCAGAAGGCCACCGCCAAGTGCAACAAAAGAATCCGAGCTTAGACATACAGGCAGCATCGACGAGAGAACTAATGACAATTCTAGAAGGTATCTTTATCACTACCCGAATCATCGCGTTCGAGAAGTACAACTTCATTTGCAGAAAACAAAAGAAGAACGAATCACTTGAACAGTTCCACGCGGATTTGGCGGAACTTTCGTCACGAGCAGACAGGGAAGACGAGTTGGTCAGAGATATGTTAACAGCGAACATGAACAATGAAAAAATAGCAGAGGAATTAGTGGCCGAAACTTGAAGCTCACAAGACGCATATGAACATGTCATTTGACGAGAAACAGGAATAGATCTCATCAGAACTATGAAATTGAACCCGTTCAGAACACCTATAACATCAACAACGAAACAAAAACCGATGGGTACATACAACTCAAGGACAAGGCGGACAATTTCACCACCAAAATGATCAACGACGCGGATTCATACGACGACAAAATGTCGCACGGCTTGCTCGTGTGTACCCTCCGAGTGGGGCAAGCGGGATTACACGGTTCACCTCTGTGCGGCCAAAGACACACAAGGGTCACTGTAACGTAGGGGTACGAACCGGGAACGGCGAGCACTCAAAGGCCCAGAGGCCAACAGAGCGGTGAAGAACCAACCAGTTGGAGCCACTTACCACAAATTTATGGCGAGAACCTCCCAAGCTTCGAAAGTGGTCGGGTTTTTCGTTGCTGACTCGGGACTCGCCCATCTGGGTCAGCAAATTTTGAACGTGGAACAAAATCCAGGGCCGACGCTTTGCGGAGTATGCAACAAAAGAGTAACAAGTAATAGAGTAAATGCAATGGCGTGAACAATGGATACATCAAGGATGCAGCGGCCTGTCACGCAAAAATATCCAACACTTAGCTGCAGCCAACAGTTATGCTTTTGAGTGTTCAAGATGCAGTAGTTCTGATCCGCTCAATCCCGGCAGAGAGTTTCTGGAGGTTAAGACGAGGGTAAATCATTACCGCGACATCCCCGAGCAGGAGCCGAAAGAAACAAACAGAAAAAAGACAAGGAAAAGAAGGGAACCAGCTCCCTGGCCCCACCTCGACCAGGAGACATTGGAGGGTAAGACGAGGAGATTAACAACCTGCGTCGGCCCCGCGCGGGACCCCAAGATGTCAAACGAACTCCCGAATAAAGAGGACCAAAATAAAAGTCTATGTCTCCATCCCGGACAGCGTACAGCATTGGAAAAAAAGGGGCAGAAACGGTCATGAAAACCCCGCACAACAAACAATCATGATAAAAGACTTTGACGAAGGGAAATCAGAAACTAGGAGAGGAAAAATGAGACGACCCAAATTGCGCAACTCGTCCCTGGTATAATAGCTAAGTTAGAGCTTACAATCTTGACAAAAAAAACCGGTACCTCTAGAGCAACAAAGAAGTACCAATTTTATAACAAATGCAGGCTGAGGAAGTAAACATGCAGGACATCCGCAACTTGTTCGATATCAAATCTATAAGGTGGAAAATAGAGAAACATACCCTTGAACGGATAGGCCACATACTGAGAATGAAAAATGAACGAACAGTAAAGGTGGCGTTATTGGGGTGGCTAAACAGCCTGGAAAATATCAAGAAACGTCCGGGATACAAGGGCAATTTTTTTCAGCTGGAGGAAGCTTATGAAAGAGGCGGGGATAAACTAGAGTGAAGCAACCAAAACAGCAATGGACTGAAAAAATGGATAACCAAGCGGATTGAACATTTGGAAAAAAGAGAACGCCAAATGGCAATTTTTTTTCAACGAAGACGAAAAGGTGGAAAACTGAATTACCCAGGACAAATCTTCAGTGTGGTAATTGTGGAGAGCTGTGCAAATCAGTTGGTGGACTGAAAATTTAGATGAAACGAATACACACTGAGGCAACGCACCTTTTTAAATGCAATCGTAGTGACAAAACGTAAAAAATTGAAGGCTCCTATAAAATTCACGTGAGTTCGTGTAACCCGGAATCGGCTGAAGAGGCCAGGATCTACACACCAGCAACCAGGATCGGTAACGAATGCAACCAAGAGCACTCAGCAACCAATATGGCCCGACACACGAGTAGATGCAGGGGGAGACGGAATGCTTCCGATGAGGCGAAAGCCTGAAGAAGAAGAAAATGTCGAACACAGAATACGAGGGGTTACCAAAACCCTAATAACGTACAATAAAAAGAATGCTACAAGTGCGGAAGACAGTTCAGACCAACTCACCTAAAAGATTAAGTTTATACGAAATAAGCAAAACTTGGACATTGCAAAAGTATGTAGGTCTACAAATGGCAACTATCTGCGGGAAAGAGACGAAGATGACAGGAAAAAAGTGAAAACACCAAGGAGGCGGAAGAAAATTATCCAGTAGCATTCGCTGATTTCACTTCTACAAACGGATTAGAAGAGTTCCCATAAATCAATTTCTCGTTAATGGTAATATCCGAGGTTTTTGAAATGAAAAGTTCGGCAAAGCTAGCCGAGCAAAATTTAAACGGACATATAGTTAAACTGAAAACAAAAACGGAGGCAATGTTTGCCATTGCGGACTCAGGAAGTCCAATGTCATTCGGCGCAACATCTACGAAAAAACGATAAATCAATATTCAAAAATATCCCACCGGAGGAGGCAGCATGAAATCTGACACATTACAATAGTGTGTTCGTCCTTCCTAAGGGAAAATTGATTATTGCGATAGAATCCGGGGGATGGACAATACAGTCAGCTCCGTTAATTTTAATGGACGACCAGAAAGCAAACATAATAGGAAAAAACCTCTTATCAATAAGTGTTATAAAATTAATACAAGAAAAATCGTAGCAGTAGCAGATGTTGAGCATACAGAAAACCGAAGACTCAAATCCCGAAATAAAACAATGGGTAAAATAAAATTTCAAACAACACTGCATAAGGATCGGGAAATAAAAAAAAATCAAGTGATGCGAACACATATTATAAAGGTCTACATTTCTAATTAAACAAAAAGGACGACGAATTCCGACCCACTTACAGGAAGGGATCGAGAAAGAACTGAACAAACTAATCAATCGAAAACTCATCGTAAAACTGAATAAATATTCAGACAAACAGTTTATCATTCCAATCGTTATAACAGTGAAGAAGGATCCAACAGTCAAATTGGCACTAGTTTCTCAGAAGATTAACAATTTTATTCACAAGAACAAATATTAGATGCCAAACATCGACCTTCTATTAGACAACATTGCGCATACTCGCAAAAAATCCAGTTGGATAATCAAGCTAGAGAACTTATCAATTCCAGGCGGGATTCTGCAGCTAAACGGATATGCCTGCAGAATTTCAGAAAGCAATAGACCTGACACTAACGAACTGCAAGAACACGTACGCCTACTTAGGCGACATATAAGTTTTGACCAAACGGTCACTAGAGCTCTATAAAGAAAAACTATACCTTGTCTTACAAAAACTAGACGAAGAAAACCTAGTAATCTCGCTTGACAAATGTAAGTTTGCATGTGAACAGGTTGAATGGTTACAACATAAATAGTGAGGGTACTAAACCACTCATCAGGAAAACAGGTAATAAAATAATATGCTCCTCCTAAAACGTTCAAGCCATTAAAAAATTTGATGGGTCTAACAGACCAGCTCACTCGTTACATCCCAGACTTAGCTTTAGCTCAAACTGCTGCTGCTCTACGCCCACTTCTAAAAACAAAGGTAAAATTCAAACACTTGATTGGGAAACAGAACATAACGTAGCATTCAACTGTCCTAAAACTAGAATCAGAAATCGCCCAAAATAAACATTTTTACCAAAACCTAGAAACCCGCGGCGTTGGTGACGCATCAAATTTCAGCCTAGGGGCGACACACGAGCAACACACCAGGGAAGTGTGTCCAGCAATCACGGTTTTTAAAATTGTGTTTTGTTATAATACTCGGTAAACGAACTCAAATTGCTGGGGGTAGAATATTTTAAATCTTACTTGGAAAAAATGCTATCGTCATCACAGACCATCTAGCTTTAATCACTGCATTAAAGGCAAGCGAAAGATCAAAAATTAGTCAGAGTAGGCTAACAAGATAGATCGACCGATTAGTCACCTTAGACATTACATTTTCGGCGGGAAACAAAATGGGCCTAATAGAATACATGTCGCAAAATCCAGTTAAATTGGCGATACTCCCAAGCGCTGGCATCGTAGGAGGACCACGACTAACACATACGAAAAAAGGATACCAAGTACAGACACCAACAGGACAACAGCATCCCCACAATCAGAGGTCAAGGACGCAAGAGAACTGTTAACTTGCTCATCCAAAAAGTAAACATTCTTCCCGAAAACCGTTTTCAGTGACGACACCGCACAACTGAAAAGCAGACTCTAATAAACTAGACGCAGAAAAGGTAATACTTGAATGTACCTCACAAACAGAAAAACTGACGACCTCAATAACAACACAAACAGAATGGCCCAATGTGATCCGAGAAACGATCACACAGACCGAGTTGTCAATAGAAGTGCACGAAGTTTACGAATACTGCGTGAGCCGCGTGGACCCAACACAATTGAGGCAGGAGGGGCCACTTCCGAACAAAGAACCACCAACAATGACAAGAAATACAATCAGCAGACAACAGGAAGCACAACTTGAAGCAAGCCATGAGATGATCAGGGAAGAGATAGTCGCGATCTTGAATCAGGAAACCAACACTGAAGTCGAAGAAGACACGCCGCTGTATAGGAGAAAAGTACAATTCATCGCCGCTGCCACAAGGAAGGACAGGAACATGCGCCCGATACTTAACTTCGTTATAAAACGATACTGGGAAGCCTTAAAGGGTTATTCGTTTTAAATAAAAGTAATCCAACATTGACTGCAAACTGCACCAGTTCAGCGCACAATAGATAACTCAGCTTCTACATGGCCCACTATTAATGCTTCAGTATGCACGTGCGCCATCTTTGATGCAAGCGATTAATATTTCATCGGGAAACTAGAAAGTGGTTTTGTGGAATTGAAGAAGTGTTTTGTGTGTTTTAATTGTTTTGAGTTGTTGATTTGTATTGTATTGTGTGTTGTTTAGTTGGAGCGTGAGAAGGAGGGACTGAGGCGCCAGTTGGAGATGGAGAGGCGGGAGAGTGAGGAGTTGCATGTGCAGTGGGAACAGCTGCAGGCCACTTGTGTCTCTCTCCAACACCAGCTGCACAAACACAAGGAGAGAGAGAGGGCAGACAGGTTCGCCTCTCTCTTTTCAACCAATTAACACAGACAGAACATTGAATGCTCTGAACACTGAATTTAACAATGAGCAAAACAAACAAGTCAAAAGCATTTTGATTTTGGGGAGCAATTAAGCGAATAACGAATTGGGACAGGTGCTTTTTTGTTCTCTAAATTGAAGCAAAAGTAAGCTAACCGTTGTAATCAATACTGGTTGAACTTTAAGCTCATCCTTTTCTGCTAATTGAGTGCCTTGTTTCGGTTGTGTTTGCTTTACTGTCGCATAATTGTCATTCTTACTTTTTGTTGTCAAACATTTGTCTGAACAAATTGGATCAAGTGTGAAGGGGGGGGGGGGGGGGGGAGTGGATACAATCACATTTGTTTAACGATTTCGGTTAACGATAACATATTATGTTAGTGGTGCATGTTAAATGATGATATCAGCCTTATGATTCCATAAATAAAGTTATGGCATTAGGTAGTGTCTAATCCGGTTAATTATTAGTGAGCAAATATGTACATAGTGATGGTGCATGGAATGATGTTGAATTCGTTTTGTTCGTATATCTCTTCCTTTTTGACTTCCAGGATTGGTCTGCGAAGAGGCAGGATGGGGAGTGGGGGGGACGGAGCTGAGTGGAGGGGGGCACTCGAGATAGAGGAGGGGGTGATGCGGAGAACACACAGTGTGGACCAACTGGCTGCTTCTGGAGGTGGCCAAGGGGGATCGGCCCTCTTTCCAGCAGTCTCTCTCTCATCCAACAGGTACAGGTTCGAATCACAACCATGGCCATATACTTTTTATGACTTGCAACCCGCCTGCATGAGAGGCTACGCCCAAATTTTTTTACACAAAAAGTTACGAGCCTCAACAGTTTTTTTTGAAATTATTTGAACGTTTTTCCAAACTTTTGACTCTTCTCGAAAACTCCTCTCCCGAATTTGGGTTTTTGATTTCATTCAAATTGTAGGGTTGTGAGAAGCCACCCTGCATAAGCGGCTATAACCAAATTTTTTACACTAAACACTACGGAAATTTCAATTTTTTGATGTTTTGGCAGTTTTTTTGAAACTTTTCGACTTTTCTCGAAAATTACTCTCCCAAAGCTCAGAGTTTGTTTTGAATTGAAAAAATGGAGTTTGGTAAGAGCACCTACATAAGCGGATATGGTCTTAAATTTTCTCAGAAAAAACTTTTTCGTCGGAAAAGTCAAATTTGATTATTTTCGTGACCGTTGTGGGTTTTTTTTTGCATTGAAAACTACTCTACCTAAGTCGCAAAGGTTGGTGCCACTTTTGGCGGCACTTTTACGGCTTTTGCATGTGCTATGGCATTCGAAAATTAATAATTTAAGACAGTTTATGCTCATTGACTCTTTCCAACTGTATGTTGGCTATGTTTTATTTTGTTAAGCGAAGCTTTTTTTGTCACAAGGCTCTTTTTTGTTTGCCGTAGAATGAAAGCTGTTTGCTATGATGGGTAAAAGATTCATCGCTCGCTGTAAAATGTTAATTAAGGGGCTACTGGAAAAGAGCGCCTGTGTGTGATGTTAAAATCAGAAGTGGAGGTGGTGATAGGAAGGCCTTTCTTAGGCAAAAGTTCTAATATTGTGGCGTTTTTTGGGGGCAACGACAAATTGACCAAGTGGTCACCGCAAAAACAGAATGGAAGAAAGCATCTGTTTTTCCGCTCATCGAACTCCCCCCACGCAAGTCCGAAATTCAGTTTTGAAAAAGAATATAAACCTTATCATAATGCAATGAAACTTGGCACGGCGAACAAACTAACATGTTGTGAACACATTCGTTTTGAAAAAAAAAGAGATAAGCAAGCGATCAACTCATAGATAGAATACAGTTGTGTTGATTGTTGTTTAGAGTAATTATTCTTGCGTTTAGCCAGCGTTATCAAACCGGAATCGAGGTTTTTTTTCGGGTTAACTTGTTTAACAGAATCACTGTAATCATTTGTATCTTGGCTCATTATGAATTCAAACTTCTAGCGTTCCCGGCCGACCTAGCCTGGAGGTAACGGTTGTGCCTGGGAATGAAAAGGTTCTGGGTTTGAATCTGAGCAGAACCAGTTTTTTAAACGGGAAATTTTCTGTTTCAATTAAAATTGTCGGCCAATTATTTGTCTGCTTATCTGTTGTCGGCTTATTTGTCACATCTTGAAATAGTTTTTTTTTTGCCTTGTGATTATTTTAATGTTGCTTTTAGTGTTTGATTTACTCCTACAATTTTTAATTTAACTTACCTTGACTTCGTATTTCCTTTTTTGTTTTTGTTTGTTTCGCCTAAAAAAGTTCTTCGGTTCAAATTATTTCGGCCTATTTTTTATCCGCTCAATGATCTAATGTTCGTTTTTCTCAGAAATTTATACTGATTTTCAAAAAGGAGTTTTAATTGAAAAAGACAGCGTACTCCCCTGTCGGCCTGTTTATTCCCCTTGAGTCTCTTTTTACTTTACCACTTTGTCTACAGCCTTCGAAAAAGTCTATGGGGTAATATTTGACTCACATTATTCGTTTTCTCGACAACTACCCCTCTCAAAAAAGTTGAGTTTTTGGTTTCAATCATTAGAATTGCCATTAAAATAAGAAGGGACATTACAATTGTTTTGAAATGCTCACCTGAATAAGAAGGGCCATTACAATTCTTTTGAAATGCTCACCTGCTCACCCAACATTTTTTACATATAAGGTAATGGACCTCGGAATAGTAAATTTTTGATTTCTGACCATTTTTTAATTTTTTTGAATATTCTCGAAAACTAACCTGCCGTATTTGTGATTTTGGGTTCAGTTCAAAGACGAGTTGTGGGAAGCTCATTTGCTTATGCGAGTACTCTCAAATTTTTCTGACACCAAAACTTATGGCCCTCAGAAACGTCAATCTTCTGATATTTGACCATTTTTTAAGTTTTTGAATATTCTCGAAAACTCCCCTGCCATATTTGAGAATTTGGGTTCAATTCAAAGAAATGTTGTGGGAAGCTCATGCGATTTTTTCCTAAATTTTGTGACACTAAAAGTTTTGGCCCTCGGAAAAGTCAAAATTTTCATTTTTTTGACCGTTCTGTTCAAGTTTTTGACATTGCTCAAAAACTACACTCCCAAATCTGAGATTTTATATTTATAGCCTTTATAACTGACTATACCTTGTTTGTTTAAAAAAAACTTTTGGCTTTCAAACAAGACGAAGTTTTGAAACTTTGACAGTTTTTGCAAACTGTTTTACTTTGCGCGAAAAATACCGTGACAATTCTCAGGTTGTCTTCTATCAAAAATCCCGGTTTTAGAAATCTTCTGTGCTTGAGCGGCCACAACCTGTTCTTTTCAGGAAAAGTCATGGTTTTTGGTACTCCTTTTGACCGTTTTTTAGAACTTTTTACCGTATTTTTTAGAAGCTTTTTGAATTTGCTTTAAATTACACTAGCAAATCTGAGATGAAAAGTTCAATTGAAAGAATTGGTTGCGATAATGGTTCCAGCAGAGGCGGCGGTTCCTTAATAATTTCTAACAGCAATGTTATCTTCCTGGGAAAATTGATTATCTCAAAATAATCACTTGTCACTTAATTTAGTAGAGTAACAACTGAAGTTTTGAGCGAAGTCCAATTTTTGAAATCATCTTTTTCGTGCCGCATCAATATCGCAAAATCATTGAGTATCAAACACATACCTCCAGCTTTCGCTGATCCCCTATTTCTTTTTTTTTATGTAGACATACGAAAAGTTTGGTTCAACTAGTTTTGTTCAACATAAATAATTTTTATTCGACTGATGTTTTTTTATGTATGTGTTGTATGGCAAGTGGTATCGCCTCTATGTAGTAGTATATATTTATTAACGGGGCAGATCCAGGATTTTCTCGAGAGGTGGGTTTTCAAAAAAGGCATAAAAAAGCGTTTTTAGGCATTTAAGGGTTGTTTTAACCAAAAAAATGCGTTTCTTCCACGCGCGCTCCCTGTTAAAATTGGTGTATATTGGCGTCGAAGGCGTCTTTAGAGCCTTTTTAAAGTCGGTTAGCCAAAATTATGTCATGAAATAGTACCAAAGGGGGAACCCTTTGGGTCGGCAGGGGGTCGAATCGCTGAGGGAAGCCACCCCCCCCCCCCCCCTAAATCTCCTCCCCTGTATTAGTGTGTTGTTGTAGGGTGGTGTGTGGGGGTAATGTGTGTGGAGGGGTGCGAGTGAAGAGAGTGGAGTGGGAGAAGAGACAATTGCAGACACAAGTGGACAGATTGGAGCACGATCTCCACTCACTATCCACTGCTCAAGTGAGTCCACTTACTCCTATCACTAATCTGGCTGTATGATTAATTCTATGTGCAATTCGGTCGCTTCAAAACCCTCTGATCTATATGGTCACTACCCTCATGCTCTTTTGACTTCTTAAACTCTCTTTTCATACTCATTTTCTACAAGCGAAGCTTAGGTTAAATTGGGAAACAGTTTTTTTCGTTGCAATTTATTATGTTTTTCGTTTTTCACATGTTTTTCTGTTTTTTTTTCTAGTGAATGGTAGACTCAATACTATGAAAACAAAGTTCATAATGAAACGAAAGTTGAACGAACTTCTTTATTACTTTGTTTCTTTACTTGAAAGCCTCGTACGATGGCTTTTTGATGAAAGATCATTCAGCTTGTAATAATAATCAAATTCTCCGACAAAGATTGACTAGTAGTTTGCGTAGAAAGAATCAAAACGTATGTTGAAGCTTCAAAAAGAACGTATTTTGTGATGAGATTTACTATTGAAAAACGTAAACTTACGTGCCCGTCCAAAATTTATCACAAAATTCAAATCGATCAAACAGTTTGAACGCAGCTCAAACAAATACGTGAACAAGCGGCGGTCGTCACTTTTAATTTGTTTCAAGATTTAAAGAAGGAAAATTTCAGCTGAAAATGCCATGAAGCCGTTTTTACTGGAACTTGAATAAAAGCTTTGAAGTTGGTTTTTAATTTCACTTGCGAGAGCAAGTGTACTTGTAATCGGGGACTAGACTTTTCTTACAAATGTGCATTTACTTTCAAGTGACTGCAGCTGAAGATTTTGAAATAAACTATCTATTAGTTCATTTTAGATTGTAAATATATATTTTTTTTCAAAATAATCTTTGTGAAAAAAGGTGGAGTGTTTTCAGATTCGTGGTTTTCGTCCTAATAACCATCAGCTCATTTTCCGTTTTTTTTTTATTCGAACGCAGTTTTTAAGAGTAAGGAATGTAGCAAAGACTCTTGTATAGATCTTAGTGATTTTTTTTTGTTTTTTTTTTCTGGAAAAAGTCTGAAATGCTCTAATAACTACAGATGTGCATTCATACGTAATAATGCACTTAAGTATATATGCACTTTTTGAGTTCAATTGAAATTCATCAGCTGAAAGTTACGCAAATAGCACTCTCTAAATACGAACGTAGAAATGGCGCGAAAAAATTAGAGTAATTTCTAGTTTCGAAAGTGGAAATTTCTATTTAGATTTCCTGAGGAATGACAATTTTATTTGTTTGAGGGCATTTTTTTGAAATTCAAAAGTTGCGATTTTTTCAACAAAGTCAGTGTTTTTTCTGTTTACTAGCGTTCATTACTCTTTTCCAAATGTCAGTTAGCTATAGTTATTATTTGGTAAACTTTAGCAGCCGAACTTCCAAAGAACTTTTTTAAAATTTAAATAGTTAATGCTATAGTTGATAGTTGCTTTGTAATTTGTAAAATTCCGATTTTGAATTTTTTCATTTCTTTTTTTTTTTCATTTTTTTTTTAAATTATGATAATTCGGCTTAGGATTGCGCCGTTTAGCAAACTATTGAATTGTCTTGTTTTACCGACTATTGAAAATGGGGAGGAACTTTGTATTCGGGTGTGTTTTCTTTTTTTTTGTTTTCACGCAAAATCGGGTGTTAGTGTGGTTGTCTTTAGTTTATTTTATTATAAATTATTACATGCAGAGTTTTGTGCATTTTAAAGCTTCTGATTTTTTGCCACTTTCTCCTTCGTGTTTGCAAAACTGCAGCCTGTGTGTGTTTATTTGGTATTTAGAGTGTTTGGTTATCCACTCAAAAAAAGCGGAAATGGCTAAAACGCTAGCCCTAAGGCTGAAAGTGGATTTATTGTTAACAATTTTTGGTGGAACGAATTAAGTACCGATTGATCGAAATTTGTTTAACAGGCTAATTCTATCAAAATGTGTTTGGATCTACTTAACAGTTACCCCTTTAATAAAGTGGGGTAACTTTTAATTAGTTAATCATTATGAACGTAGTGAAGACTCTTATATAGGTCTTGCTGATTTTTTTCCCGGAAAGTCTTAAAATTTGTTTACGCTCAATTTTAATCTTTCGCGGTTTGAATTATGATATGTTTTTCAGTCCAGTGCATTTCTATTGTTAAAATAAGGGCAAGCTCCACTATCGAACAACATAATTGTAAAGGTCACGAAAAACGCGATCGACTTCTAATTTCGAAAATGGAAATTAATTATCAGATTTCCCAGCGAAATAAAAGTTTTACCTATTGATCCAGTTTTCTCAAATTGGGTTAGGTTTAATAAAAAAAAGTGTCCATCATAAATTGTTCTACAAATTCAAACAGCTTTAAGGACATCTAGTTGTTTATTCGAAATTCAAGTTGACGATTTTTGAAAAAACAAGTCGATGTTTTTTTTTTCAGTTTCCTTGCGTTCATAGCCAACTGACAGTTGAAAAAGAGCAATGTTTAAGTTAACCGAATTATCGACCAATCAGAATGCAGCGAAATTCGAATTATTAATTGAGCGCTCTAGTGCTAACGTACTGCTTTTATTTATAGGGGTGGCAATTCTTTAGTAGATCCAAGTGTTGTTTGCCATAAAACTGTTTTGAAAATTTCAGACATCGATTTTCTTTTTTGAGTGTTAAATTGATGATACGCATCAGTACATGTGCTAATTGATCGGAGAAAAGGACCGTATGACATTTTAGCACACTGAACTGACTTGTTGTTCCGACTATGAAAATGGATAGCAACTTTGTATTCGGGTGTTTTTTTTGTCAAATTCAGGTACACTCACCACAATTAATAATCCGAATGTGTCGAGTGACATATCGTATTCAAGCCTTTTTAGTCCTGTTTCGAACTACATTTAAAAGTTTTGAAAAATTTTCTCAGCTTCAAGAAAAACCCGCGTGAAATTTTTGAATTTTAGTCTAATTTCGAGCGAATAAGGTGCGCGAGCAGGCTTACACTAACAATACCATATTTTTGCTTAATTTTAGCCGTGAAAACTTGGTTTTATTCAAGTTGAGTTAGTTGTTGGAGCTTCTTGCGCAATTTTGGAAATCAAAAACTTTCCAAAATTTCTTTCAAAATTCAAAAAAAATCTGCAAGACAATTTTTTTTTGTTTTCATTTTTTAGGCATTTTTCTATAACAACTGGTTTCTAATTTGCATATTTTTTGTGAATGTTAAATATGCCTATGTTCTAGTTTTCCATTCCAGAAAAAAAACCTTTTTTGTAAGACTATGGTCGGAGCATTCTGTGCTTATTGGTCAGTAACCTAACCGGCTATCCTTGTTTCTTTTTGTGATGTGTTGTGTTGTGTGGTGTAGGATGAGCTGTATGGTAGAGTGTGGGCGGCAGAGTCACGTGCAGAGGTGGGGGAGAGAGTGACACAGATTGTGAACAACTTCATCATAATGCATGAACAACAACAACGACAGGAGCACACTCACAATCGACTGCTGCACAGAGTGAACAACAGCAAGAAGAAGAAGAAGAACAGAGAAGAGAGTGGGAAGAGAACTGAAGAAGAGGAGGAGGAGACATTTGGGAAGGAGAGAGAGATGAGAGAAACAAGTGAAAGAGAGTCTCCTCTGAGTCTTCTGCAGAAGAGACTGCGGGAATGCTGCCAATGTTGTCACTTCTGTTGCAATAGTCGCCCTCCAACAACCACAACAACAACAGCAGTTGGTGACACTGGAGAAGATGTAAAAAGTGGTGACAACCACTTCAGACAACTACAACTCACAGCAGATGCCAGCAGTAGTCGATACACTTGCATGAACAACAAGACAAAGAAGAGTCCCACAATGATTTTAACGAGTCCCCTTGTTAGAACAAACGGAAACAACCAGCAGCAGTTCTTAGCTTCAATTGGTGGCATTGAGTTGAGTCGACCAAACCAACAATCGGACAGCAAGTGCAATAGAGTTGAACATTATCAGTGCAAACAAAACACAATCAACAACAGTACCACAAGTCAAAGTTGGAATCCATGTTCTGAAACTACTACTAGTCCTCGTGATGCCTGTTGTAATGGTATCACAAGCACTAAAAGGGAATCGCCACCAGAAGAGGGATCAGAAAATAGAGGAGAAGATAATACATGTGTGCAGTTGCATCAAACTGGACCAGATTGTGTGAACAGCTTTAATTGCGAGTCATCATCGTCATCTCGTGCTTCCAACTCCTTCTGTTCCTGCCAGGGTCAGAGTGGTTGTTCATTGGGAGTGTCGATCAGTGAGTTGATAGACCTCATAGTGGAGATGGAGGTAGAAAGTAGCATTGGGATGAGAGAGTGTTCCATGACAGACGACACTGGTCACTATTGCAATAATAGAATGGATGGCAGCAGTAGGAGAGTAGGGGGAGGGGGAGGGGGAGGGGGAACTGGCAGTGGAGCTGGAAGGGGAGTGCGAAGTGTGAGTTGCCAGACATTCCCAGTGCCCCGTGGTCTGCTGTCCAGTAACAAGCGAAAACAACAACAACAACACAGGCTCAGCCAGAAGAGTTTTGGTTGGTATTCACAAATTTAAACGAACTTCTTTTTGGTGAACTTGTCAGGGGCCATATTCTTCTCCTGTTCAAATTAAGCAGCCCAAATATTCGAAATTGGAAGTGACATTTTGCGTGGCCCTGAATAGTTTTGTTTTATAGTGCGATAGGCATAGTTTTTGTTTCGACCACAAAGTCAAAAGCAACTAAGGATTCAGGCGTGTTTATTTCATACGAATAGCTCTTCGGAGAGACTCGAGTGAATAAAGTCTTTGATTTGATCGTTCAAACATTTTTTTAAGTCTGTCGAGCAAAATCGGTGGTGATGGATATGTTAATTGCACTGAATACGTTATTAAATAGTCCTTAACGCCAAAGTCCTCCTGATACCAAAACCCCTACAAAACTGTCTTTAAAAATAAGAAAAAATTCCATATGCCGCTCTGATGATAACAATAATAAAAAAAAAGACACGGCCGTCCTTGTTTTGCTAGGGTTTGCTTGTTTTTTTTTTAATTTTCGTTACTTCGTTTCTCCCCTTCGTTGTCGATGCGTACAAATATATAAGGGGGGGGGGGGATGGAATTCTATAGGTGGCCTTACATGAAGTGTGTTTAGGTGGCAGCAGTGGTGGAGAGAGGGGAGGGGGGACTACTAGTAGTGGGAGAGTGTGTGCAGTAGTGGAGAGTATGGCGGTGGGGGAGAGCAGTGCCTCTGGGGACTGCAAACTACTGCTGGACAGCATCTACAGGGCCATACAACAAGCCAAGACATGACACACATGGAACAGAGACACAACACAGGCCATTACATTGGAACACCACAACACTTGATAGAACAGGCGGCCACACAGTGCAGTATGAGAGTAAAAGAGAGAGAGAGAGAGAAGAGACACAGATATGACATACAAGGAGCACAGAGAAGGGCAGAAGATGAGCCATAGAATATAACAGAACGGAAGAGAACAGAAAGATATGAGACATTGAAGAAAGAGACAGATTGTGCAATGGACTGAGTTGAACTGAACTGAATCTGCCCTCATATGCAAACACTGCACCCCCCCCCCCCCCCCCCCCCCTCTCTCTCTCTCTCTCTCTCTATTTCTATTCTGTTCACTCTCTCGGCCGAGAAGAGGCATCTGAACTGAACTAATACTGAATTATACTATGAAAGTGCTATTCTGATTGGCTGCTTATTCTGCTATTAGCATCTTGCGTGCAGTTATCCATTGAACTATTACCAAACAGTGCATTATTGTATTATAGTCTGACCAGCTTGCTTGTTCGAAGCGCAGTGGTAACAAAGAGCCTGTTAAAATTGTGAGCAATTCAAACCATTTCTTTCTCTCGTCCTCAATCGTCTATAGGGGGATCATTTTCCAGCTTATTCTCATGCCCTCTTATGGCTCCTGGCGACTTTTTTAAATCTCAAACCAATCTTGTTCTGCCAATTTTAGATAGAATTAGAGTAGATAATTGTTGCAATACTTTTACACATAAAATGTGGGATGAAGAATTGAAACAGTCGAAAGTGTTCTGAGAACAGCAAATATGTACCGCCTTAAATCTACCATGGTGTCAAGTGCTAACCATGTCCTGTTAGAAGCGACCATCTGAATAATTTTTTTTGCCAACATTTAATTCCAGGCATCAATAGATTCTGAAGTTGGTCCAATTTTGAGTCCATTATTTCCACGTTTATGGACATAGCATTAGATTGTAAATGGCTCTTGTTCGTAAGTTATCATATAGTTTATAAGTTATGAAATATTTATCTGTTTTGTTTGTAGTATTTTGCATGATGATTTGGTGACTATGTTTTGTATTTTATTAGTTCGCTCTCTTAAAGAGTTTGTTGCTTTCTCAAATTGGCTTCGAAGGGTCTTCATCATTATTCCTTCCCCCTCCCCATGACTAGTAAGAATCAAAATATCGACCGTACACTGTTATTTGACTATTATGTGTGCTATAATTTACTGGGAGGGGACTATAATGGCAAAGACCCGCTTCGCATCCTCTGAAATAAAAGTTTAGTTTATCTTTTTTTCAAAAAATCGTGCTACCCATATCCAATGCTCCACAAGTATTTGAGTGTCAGAGAAAAGAGGCAGTTTAGGATTTTCTCGGGGGAAGGGGGTTTGATTTTGAAAACAATTTCGAAAATTTCGTCGACCTTTTTTTTACCAAAATGATTTCCGAGCGCTCCTAAAGCACTTAAAAAGCCTTTTTGCCCATTTTTTTTTGCCCAGCAGGCAAAATTTTGAAAACACATGCCAAAAAAGGCGTTTTTAGGCACTTTTTGGAAAAAACCGAAAGCGCTCTTAAAAATATTAGGGTCCATTACCAAAAATAGAAATAAAGGATACCTCAAATTACTACAAAGGGGGGACAAAAGGTTGCAAGGTTGCAAATTATGATCTTCGATTACAAAAGGAGCTGAAGCGAAAAGACATCATTAATAATGTGATGAATGTGTTCTTTGATTGTCGAAACTTGGAAAATTTTACTTGAAAAGTGCTTTTTGTTATCTTTAACAACTCTATTGATTTATTTAAATAGGTTAATCTGAGAGTAAGCTTAGCTTGTCACGTCAAAACGATAAAAAAAACTACGCTTAGTCATTAAGTTCACATTAGACCGAAACTGAAAGTAATTTTTAGAAACTTACAGATGGTTGCTGAGCAAGTAACACAGAATGGTCAAACAAGAGTGTCAGCAATCGTAGCGAAGAAACTTTTATTGGTTGTTTTAATTTTTTCTTAATTCGGGTTTTTTCGATTACCGAAGTTTGATCTTTACGTATGGCTTATGATTACGCAAGCAATGCTTGTGTTATAGTATAAACTATCTTTTTTATAACGTAATAATGATGCGACGCAAATATTGTTGCAATAAAATGTGTTCATTTTGAAAGTGTTCATTTTGATCAATGACAAGCTATTAAGTACAGTCAATGCTAAGGATATTAACACAGACTATTATTGTTGCGACTTTCGTAACGAAAGTAACGGAATATTTGTGCTCCGGGTGCTGTTTTCTCCAAACAACTATTGCCTTTTTAACTAGCCATGGAGCTTGAATTTGGTAGGATATTTCACTTGTGATCATTTTTTGCGAAGTTATGGGAGTTTAAAACTTGCCATTTTGGACAATTAACGCGCGATGAATTTTGCCCTATTAACGCGTAAAAAAAATATAATCCGTCAAAAAAATCGTTCCAAATTGGTTGAAGGAAGCTTATTTCAACTGTGAATTTTTTTTGTAAAGTTACAAGAGTTTGAAAATTGCCAGTTTTTCCCAGTAGCAGTCATAATTTTGCTTGTGCATGCGTAGTATAACGTCGCCTCTGGGTTTATTTTTTAGGTTGAATTTATTTCGTTTGCTTAAATGAAGGCAAATTGAGCTCTCCAATTAAGAAAGCGAAAACACGTGATTGATTTCAATTTTCTTTATTTTTTGTTTTTCCAAAAAACTTGAAAATTGTTACTATTTCCAATCTTCTTTAATTCGGCAAAAAATTGTTGAGCATAAAATATTCATGAAATTTCAACGGAAGCATTCAACGGGAAGTTTCAAAAAGTCAACTTTTGTTTGAAACTTCTAATTCTTGCTGAATGTGTTGTGGAAACAACGCTATAATTGAAGACAAAGGTTTAAATGACTTTGTAATTTTCAACAAGTATAGCCGGTTATTGTGCAACTAGCACAGAGTGTTCCGACCATAGTCTAAAAATGTTCCGAGCATAGTTTTTTTTTTCTAGTTGAGTTCATTTTGTTTGTGTGATGCGATCAAAAGATCTGAACAAAAACTGAAGCGTTGAAAAACCTCTGGCGCTAAAAATAAGCTTTAACGGATCAATTCAAGCAAAACAAGATATTGTAATATTGCAAACTCGCATTATTTGCTCGAGTTTAGACTAAAAATATGATACATCACTCATGACAAAAAATATATATCACTCAAACATGACTAAAAATGTGATATGACACAGAGTTTTCCGATCTTAGTCTTTAGAAAACTGAGGTTTAGTTTTTTTCTTCAAATTAGTGAAATTTTTTCTGCTTGTTGTGATGAAAAGACCTGACGTAGAAAAATATTTTACTAGTTTTCTTGCGTAAAACTAGGTCTTAAGTACAGCTGATTAGGCATAATTCAGCTGTTGTAAATCTGCTCTCTGGCTTTGTTTGCTCCAAATAAGACAAAAAATTTCAAACCGGTTTTTCTCGATATTGGGAAATTTCATTGTGTTATCCGAATCACGACTGAAAGGGCTCTAATCTGATATATCACTCAACCCAGTCCACTGATTTTTTGTGGTACCTAATTTCGTGTAGAAAATGAAAAGAAGAAAAGTCAAGCACACGCGAATACATAGTTTCTCCCCATTTTCAATGATCGGAACAACTAGCTTAACGGTAACAGTAAGAATACATAACAGATGATTTTCGCTTTTATACAAAAATTTTCTGACCTGTTTTTCTTGACATTACGCATATATATGCTATGCTTGCTATTCTACGATGGCTACTATAAGATTGTGGCTTTTATAGCATCACTGGTTGGTTATAAGTGCAGAAGAACAGCCGGAAAGCTAACAGGACCGGAAAGCACACAATCAGTTCACAAAAAACCTGCCTGTCATCTATCAAGATATAAGGCAAAGTAGCTTAGATACAAAATAATTACTTTTGATAGCGATTAATTTTATGGTATAAAATCAGTTTAGTTCAAATTCCAGCTAACAAAACTTGAAGAAAAAACTAAAGAAAACGTTAAATTTAGACAAGTTGGCTTTGGATATTGAATGCAATTTGCGCAATGATTGCTATTAGTTGTTTTTTAAGGAGAATGATTGCTATTAGTTGTTTTTAAGGAGTTCAGATTGAAGTGGTCGACGGCCAATACGGAAACCGTACGAATCGATCATTGTTCTTGCCTGTCTTTGTTCGCCGAACGATTACAACACATACCGAAAAAAAATCAACTGGAATCAGTCTGAGATCAATTCAACCGTCAGCTTGCTGTTAAAAAATCTTTCGCAGTCGTTACAAAATTGAAAAATAAATTACCCAGAGCCTTTTAAATTCCAAGTGTTTTACTTATCTCAAATTAAAGAAATTTTTGATTGAAATTTCAAAAACTTCGATCAAACCGGATTGGGCAGCAATATTCATGCGTCGAAGAATTTGTGCTGTCATTTTTTTTAGTTACACATTGTCCGCTGCATTGACCAATAAGGCTTTTCGTTTTGGGTTTTTCGATTAAACAGAACTAGAATTTGTTTTTTTTTGTACCGTAGGTGTTTTACACAGCTTGCGATGCAACACAAACGAAAAAAACTAAGTCCAAAAATGCAAATCCGGATAAAATGAAAAAGAAACTTGACCAATTTTGAAAAAAAAACGAGTTTCAAGTTTCAAGCTTAGACAAAAAGTGATGAGGACAATCGTTGCTTAAAATTTCGGCAGAATAACTATGATGCAGTTTGTTTTGTGAAATTTGGGCACAAAAATTACACCAAAAACTACTACGTTTAGTCTATCAAAAATTACCCCAAACCTATTTGATCATTTACTGACGAAAATTACTGCAAGCCTCTTATGTAGCCCTATAAAACTTTAACTTTCGAAATTAAAAGTCGATCACGTTTTTCCGAGTAAAAGCCGACTTTAAGGTAACGTATGTTGGTTATGTCACGTGGAGTAGCGTTACAGTCCAGACAATTGTTCCGATGGTTTTTTCCGAAGCCTCAACAGATAGCTATTCAGTTGGGTGAAAATCACAAATAGTTGCCAAAAATAAAGTAGAGAACAGATGTTATGAAACTTCCGCTGCTACATATCGTGATTATAGCAATAAGTGAAAATTTTAATGAATACTTTTATTCGCGAGTTAGGTTCGAAAAAAAGAAGGTTCGTACTAATACACTACGCTGATCGCTAGCGTAAATATAGCACTAGAAAAGATGCTATAAATGGCTATATTTTTCTTGACTTCTTCAAGCTCAGACGCAGAAAAGTTTTCACTGAATCAGCAACTAGAGTGCAGCAATTAAAAGCGTCCACTGAATATTTATGAAAAACTAAACTTTTTGATTAAAAAATCAAAACAATAATGACCAGAGTGTTTTATTTGAGAAATTTGTGTACCTCTATTTATCTTGTGAGCAAACGGCAGTCATTATATTAAAACATTGCATATTTTAATTTCCTTTTCACTGATAAAATACAGCAAAAAGTCGCTGACTCTGATTGACATTTAATTACGTAGATAAACGCTTTTCAATTTTTTTTAAAAGTATGATTCAAGTGGCATTCTCACGCTTAACTAGACTCTAGTTGTGCTGCTAGTAGTAAAAAAAAAAGAGGAGAGAAATTAAATTGAACAAAAATTGACTGTTTGAGACTTTAGCGTGATATAGTGCACGGGAACAAATAGTTTGGTCCATCAAGGACACATTTCACAAACCCACACATTTCAACCACCCATCAAATTCAGCAGAGAAACTAAACAAGCATTGAGTCTTTTGCATTGAATCTATCCTAAATTTGAAGTGGATTCTTCCGTTAGATTCGCCAGAAGTTAAGTTTTAGCCAATCCACTATTTCTAATCGATTTTGGAATTTACCATTGAGGAGGGTTCTACCAAAAGTATCCCAAAATCTGCCATAATACTTGAAAACCTTCATAAACGTTCGAATTAACTTCATCATCTGTCAGTCAATACGCAAATAATCCAATCCGGTTATTTTGAGATAACAAAAAGTTTTCCAAATCAATTTTCAGGTTTTTATTTCAGTACAGTTACCAGCTTAGCTATTCTCCCTCTTCAGCTATGACAGGGTCGCTATTGAGGGGGATTTCATTCAAGGGAGAGGAGGGGGGGGGGGGGGGTGGAAACGAGGTCTGTACAAATAGCACAAGGAGTAGAATTGCTTCTTAATTCTTTGAGAACAACAAACAATAATTTAATGTAAACAACAAAATAAAAATAAAACACTATAACTTTTGTTGGGAGTTTCTTTGTTCTTCCAAATGATGCCAGCTCATGTTAGAATAATTCACAATCATAGATCACTCGCCACTCTAGTGTGTAATCAACATGTTCATTGCAAGTGGGCATTTAGCATCAAGTATTTACTCGACTATTTCATTTATATTTGGACGTATCTGATTTGATCGTCAGGTATTTGATGCGCTGTTCTGAAATACGCCCTAATCTTGCAATAGTTTGTTTAAATTACATTTCGTAGTAATTAATTTCAACCATCAGATTCAAGCGTTTTGGCCAAGTTAGTTGAAGTATTCATTTGGGAAAGCATAGCAGAAGAAACAAATCCTTTTCTATCTTTTGATAGCATTTTGTAAGAAAGTTCATTGACTTCCATCCATAATAGTCGTAAAGTATTGTTGAGTGGATGTGTAGTTGACTTAACTGAGCCCAAAATACTTCACATCTTGCTTCTTTTTTTTTTAAACCGATTTCGCTTCAATCAAATCAAATTAAGCACACTATGTTGCAATGTACAAAATATAGTGCTGTACAATTGGTTGTGCTGCACATAAACTGTGCCACACTGCCTTTGTACAGTACTGACTGCATTATATATCATTATATAGCAAACCACCATCATCATCAAATTAGTTTTAGTAGTTTTAATGGAGAATCGAGTCTGCTGCTGCTATTTCGTCGTCTCTTCCTTTCTTTTCTTGTCTTTTCGTTTCAAGTGTCTGGGCAACACACGATGAATGCGAGTAAGAAAGAGAAAGGATGGCGAATAGGTTAAACCAACTCCCTCTCAATTGAACAGCCCACAAAAGATAACTTATCTTCTTCATCTGTAGATCTTCACTCATCTCTCTCTATCTCTTCTCGCAGCATGTTGTCCGTTGTCTCAAACAGATGTGGGTCATTGTGGGGTTGTAGATGGAGGAGGGAGGGGAGAGGGGGGGTTGGGCTGGTTTAAGTGTGAGTTTGTGGTGGTGTGACGTCATAAGACGTACATGTGCCTCATTGCACTACTTGTCTGGTGCTGCGCATCTTTGTGCGTCTAAACAAATAAACACTATTAATCATACACTCCTTCCTCATGTCTAGACAGGGATGGGGTGATATCTGATATTTTTAAAAATATCATATCAATCCGATATTTTTGATATATATCACGATATTTTTGATTTTTACCTGATTTCATGATACAGCTGATATTTATGGATTTTTTTGTCAAAAATATCATGATATATATCATGATATTTATCATGATATTTATCACTTGATATATATCACCCATCCCTGTGTCTAGAAGTCTTGTAAGCTAATCGGAGTTTGTAGTTTCGAACAGTAGCAAGGCGAAGAAATCGGACGCTTTTCGACCGTTAGCCTCGCATGCAGCACGAACCTCACCCAGAGACGTCGGGCGCAACAGTTTTAACTAGATTGCTTCCAATCATTGCACTGTAGGAAAAGTTTTACTTCGACCTATACTGTGGGTAATTTTATTGAACGCAGAGCAATTTCGTTTTTTCCTTTCCCACATCTCAGTTTAATATCTTCCCAAAACTGATAACTTAATACGTCGTTGTCAAATAGTAAAAAAAATACTCCTTTTCTGGATCGATCGGGTCATTAAAACGTACAGTTGAGTTTATAAAAGATGTAGATGTTATTATTGCAAAGAATTTAAATTGGATGCGACACATTAAAACAGAATGATCAAAATCGCTCAGAGGCTTCAATTTAATTTTAAAAAGAACATCCCAGAAGGCGTCATGCAGTCCACGAAAAAGTTGCTGCATCAATCGTTAATTTTATGCTGCTCTGCGGCTTGGTGTCCACAAATATCCTGTTTGCAAAAATTAGAGTTTTAAGCGAAGAGTTCCAAAAATGAATTGAGAGTAAAGACTATTGTTATGTTTATTCCTTTTGTTGAAATATCCCATAAAATCGGAGCAAACAAAGTAAAACTGAGCTCAGATCAGTCAGCAAAGGAGGAGTTCCAAAAATGAATTGAGAGTAAAGACTATTGTTATGTTTATTCCTTCTGTTGAAATATCCCATAAAATCGGAGCAAACAAAGTAAAACTGAGCTCAGATCAGTCAGAAATGGAGGAGTTACAAAAATGAATTGAGAGTAAAGACTATTGTTATGTTTATTCCTTCTGTTGAAATATCCCATAAAATCGGAGCAAACAAAGTAAAACTGAGCTCAGATCAGTCAGAAATGGAGGAGTTACAAAAATGAATTGAGAGTAAAGACTATTGTTATGTTTATTCCTTCTGTTGAAATATCCCATAAAATCGGAGCAAACAAAGTAAAACTGAGCTCAGATCAGTCAGAAATGGAGGAGTTACAAAAATGAATTGAGAGTAAAGACTATTGTTATGTTTATTCCTTCTGTTGAAATATCCCATAAAATCGGAGCAAACAAAGTAAAACTGAGCTCAGATCAGTCAGAAATGGAGGAGTTACAAAAATGAATTGAGAGTAAAGACTATTGTTATGTTTATTCCTTCTGTTGAAATATCCCATAAAATCGGAGCAAACAAAGTAAAACTGAGCTCAGATCAGTCAGAAATGGAGGAGTTACAAAAATGAATTGAGAGTAAAGACTATTGTTATGTTTATTCCTTCTGTTGAAATATCCCATAAAATCGGAGCAAACAAAGTAAAACTGAGCTCAGATCAGTCAGAAATGGAGGAGTTACAAAAATGAATTGAGAGTAAAGACTATTGTTATGTTTATTCCTTCTGTTGAAATATCCCATAAAATCGGAGCAAACAAAGTAAAACTGAGCTCAGATCAGTCAGAAATGGAGGAGTTACAAAAATGAATTGAGAGTAAAGACTATTGTTATGTTTATTCCTTCTGTTGAAATATCCCATAAAATCGGAGCAAACAAAGTAAAACTGAGCTCAGATCAGTCAGAAATGGAGGAGTTACAAAAATGAATTGAGAGTAAAGACTATTGTTATGTTTATTCCTTCTGTTGAAATATCCCCTAAAATCGGAGCAAACAAAGAGAAGTTCAGATCAGTCAGAAATGGAGGAGTTGAGTTTAGGCTTTTTAAAAAATCACATTCACATAAATTTCTTCGTACGCGCACGCAGAACCGTAAACAAGATGCTTTCTATGACAAAAAAAATAACTTTGATATGACTCTGAAGACATTCAAGATTACTCTGGATGATTTTCTTTATTGCAAAAATTTAATATAAATAATTCATGTTCTTTTTTTAAGTCCCATTGCAAAAATAGTACGTCGTAAATTGATAGTTTAGTAAATAGTTGAATCCTTATTAATTTTAAGTAATCCATGTAGAATTTCATGAACTTCCTTCATTGGAATTCAGTCTTTTCTCACTTTTCTACAGTTGAGAAGTGTAATTACCTCCTGAACTTCCACTAAACATTGTTGAGTGTTAATTAGTTGTTATCAATTATTACCTGGAAGTGTATGCTGGTGCCGGTGGGGATCTTCAGTCTGTTCTTGAATGTCTCTCTAAACAAAACAGTCAACATTCAATACTCGTTAGATATTTGAGCGATTGACATGAAAAGTTTCAAACAACGATTGAAAAGCTTATTGAAAAAAAAACAGGATAAAGCCGATAAAAACTGGAATGGAATCCAAACGCCTGATAAAAAAGTCGATTCACAGAAAGTACAAGAATAGTATGACTTTTAAAGTTGAAAATGACACAAGTTTTCTTCACCCAGTTAACTAAGTTGTTTCCGAGAGAAAGTCTAGTACCCGGGTGCAGTAGCCTGCATTACCAAGGGCATCAAAGTCTAATGGCGACCTTCAACACTGGGTTCATTGTAAATGTTTCAATTTGGACCTGTACTGTACTTAACTGTCGATTCGTATCAGTTTGTCGTATATATTGTATTAACATATGTAATGTGTTGTGTTGTGTGTTACAGTTTGTGTGTTAGTGTGTTGTTTGACTTGCCCGATGGAGTTTGTGGCGTCCTTGTCTGTGGTGGTGATCCACACAGCCACTCTGTTGTACTTGCCCCTTATGCTCACCACTGCCCCCACCACCAGATCCCCCAGACAGTCCTCGAAGCCCTCCCCAATCAACAGCAGCACCTGCAGTTCAAATCACACAACACAGCCTGTTACCTGTTTAGTATATTTGTGCTGAATTGTATAATTGCACTGAATGAACTCAACGCAAAAACTGAACACAAAAAGGTCCGACTTTGGCAGGAAAAAAGGAACATGTTGTCTCTGTGACTATGAGCACCTACACCGTAACAGAGGTTGACACGCTTTATCTGCTCTTTATTAAAAATTTGCATTTCAATTTTTTTGGAAAAAAAAATTTTTTTAACACAGAGATTCGAAGAAATGAAGGCTCTGAAAACTCATTTGAATTTCGGTCAAAAAGCGAATCGGTTTAGCTTTGGTCAGTACATTGTTTTGATGATATTAATGAAAAAACAGAGTCAGAAAAAAAACAGATCAAATTACACAGCCTAACTAGACTATGCAAGAAGTGCTCCTAAGCCCCCGTCCGCCCCTAATAATTTACTTTTAAAACTTTAAATCACAAATTCTAGTAGTAATAAAACGTAGCATGCTGACTAATTAGGCTATTGCAAACATATTCCAAGCCTATTAAAACATTCGTTGTTCCAACTCAAAATTGATGTGCTTGTGAGATAGATAGAATGGAGAGAGAGTTGGGAATGTGAAAAGAGAGAAGAGAGAAGAGAGAAGAGAGAGAGAGAGAGAGAGAGGGAGGGAGAGAGGGAGGGAGGGAGAGGGAGAGAGATGTGTTACCGTTTCGAGCCAGTACTTGTCGATGTTGGTTTTCTCATCCACTTTGGCCTTGTTGATTGTGACTATCCATCTGCCCCCATTCTTGTTGGCCGCATCCTCCCACGAGGGCTCTATGTTCTCCTTGAACAGCGAGTAGTCTGATCCCTTCGTCAGCTGATTCGCCGGCTGGATGTAGTTGAACAGTCTAAACAAACACAAATACAATCCAACCTAATTGTGATGAAACTTCTAATGACTAAAACAATAACTGTGTTCTTCTTCCTTCTTCTCTTCCACCCAGCAAAGTGTAGGCCTCAGTTCTGTAAAAGCACAACTCTGAGAATAAGGAGCTTCTAAGAAATATTTACAAACACAGTTGCAACACATTTTTACACTTAATATTGCAATATTCCACGACACTGAAGAAAACTTTCGGGAAGACTCGAACTGGGCAAAAAGTGTCAACAGTCTATATATATATAAACTGCCATTCTTAGTCATTCTATAAATTTCATTCAAGGTGAATCCTAATCAAAACTCAAACAAAAATTCAGCAGCAAATTATAGGGGAATATGGGACAATTCTTCTGTGTTGATTTTCTTTTCCAAAGGCCGGCATTTCATTTATTTATCTGCAGTGTATTTTTTAGAACTGTCAAGAATTTGTGCGAAAGGTTGACGTGTTAGTGTAGTACAGGAGCCAGCTCAGCTGACGTTGTTGAAGCCTCGACTAGATTGAGAGAATAGTGAGTAAGAATGTAACTCAAAGCAGTGATTGTTAACATGGGGCTTGAAGCACTTGGGACATCCATTGCAGATACGAGGCTCAAATCTGTTACGACAGGGACAGATTAAAGAGTAGTAGCGAAAGCGTCATTGGAGAGTCTGGGTTTAGACGTTCATCCGAGTCAAAATTCAGTTGTGGCAACTTGTGAGTTGTTCAGTGAACAATTTCAGCATGGGGACAAAATTCAATCTATTTGGATACTGCTCCTGCTATGAGCACTTGGTGCAGTACAATGTATTTTGATGGTATGGTTTCTTTATCGGTATACTCGTTGAGGTCGAACAAGTGGGTCACGTGATCCGCATTGTGACTTTCAAAGAGGGTTCTGTGCCTGGGAGAGTTTGTGGTTCCAAGTAAATTTCTTCTTTATGATATTATGTGAAGCTCGTATCCTATTGGGATGAGAGTTGGATCATATGGAAGGTAATGGGAAGAATAAGGCGTTCAGTGCGTAATTTTTCCATTTAGCTCACTTTAGTGCAACCAGTTATAGCGCCGAGGGTGGTAATTGTTCAGTTTGTAGTCTTTCAATTAAAAAGGTGCTAGCTGTAAGCTAAAAGAAGAAATTATTTCTCATCACAACAAATTCTTCACAAAAAGTTACAAGCAACATGTTTTCTGTAAATTGAAACTCAGACTGGACAATTGACGAACCCATCGGGGTTACTGGGTGCTGCGCTGTTATGATAGGCGCATGAAACCAGTACGAGAAAAAGGAAAAAACTAAACATCATTTCATGTTAGAGTAAAATTATTCATAGAGACATTGCAGCGAGAGCCTTACACCATCTATTATCTATGAGGAGTTACTTCTTTACCAAATTGTATAGACTAATTTGAGCAAAGATAATTTTATTGCTATAAAAAACGGTTTTGTCAGTTGAAATTCTGAAAACTGGCTAGTCGTAGCTTTTACTAGCCGCTTCAATTACAAAAATTTAACTATTTCACTTACCAGTTACTGCTTCTACTAACTGTGTCCCATCCCCTAGAACCCTCATAACGCCAAAAGAATTGATTGGGGGCTAAATGGTCAGTGAAAACCTAAATGGGCTAATGAGGCAGTAACCAAACAACCGAAGTTGTAGTAATAAAATGATATGCATAAGCTGTGCATTTTATCATTGTATGCAATTTATCACTTGCGGTCAACTAAATCGCAAAATTAAATTCAATTGAATCTTATTTATCTAAGATAAATCAGTCGCGTTTTTCGTGAGCAAGACATCCGAAAAGGACATCTCCGAAAAAGAAAAATTTACAAGGTTTTGAACATCCGAAAAAAAAACAAAAATTATCAAAATTCGCAGGTATCAGGTTGTTTTGTCGAATTAAATTGAATAGCTCAGAACCACTGTAAGTAAGTGATGCTTTTCGTATCTTGCATTTGAGATTTGGTGTTTTCAAAAGTTTTCGAGCAGTAGTATTCAAAGATCATTTATTTAGGAACATGAAGACACATTTTGGAAATGATACCACAATGCTTTCTGAGTTTCGTTCGGACAAAATCAATGAGAGACGCAAAAGGAAGATTTTATTGCTCATAAAAAGATCAGAAATAGAATCACTACTTGATAAATTCATTTGAACAGTTTTACCCATTTTGAGCGTTAATCATTTTTAATAACGATTTCTATTTTTTTAGTATCATCCCGAAAAGATGACATCACAAACCATGAGAAGGTCATTGATGTAAAATGAGAAAAAGAGAGGCCCAAAATTGAGCCTTGAGGTACACTAATTTTTAGTCTTAAACAGTAGGAGTGAAAATTTTCGATTTTAGCAATTTGCATTCGTTGCTTTCGGTAACGTTTAAACCAGAGTAAATCTCTACCACCAACACCATACATTTCTGATTTTTCAGATAATATGAAATGGTCGAGGGTATCGAACGCTTCTTTAAGGTCAAGAAAAACAGATGTTTAAATTATTTGGCTGTCATCTAGACAAATTTTTTCAGCCATTTCTGCAATCAATAGTGCTGTTTTATACGAAGCCGAACTGCTTCACGTGAACAAAACACTATTTTCGAGAAACTCGTATACTCTGTTGTAGATCGCTTTTTCAAAAACTTGATCCAGCTGGTAAAAACAGATATGGGCTGTAATTATTAGCAACAAGCTTCGATCCTTTTTCAGAAAAGGGTAGACAACAGCTTGTCTTCAAAAGTTTGAAAAAGGTCCCGTTTCAAAAAAAATATCAAAAAGCTTTCTCAAAATCGTTTCAAATTCTGATCAGCAAGCTTTAAAAACTAAACTATTGATTTTATCTACGACTCGAGTTCCTTGTTTGAGACAGGTTCATTCATGCGTTTCAGTAGGTTCTAAGAAAAGATTTTATTACAGGGTTAAGCTCCTTTCCGTTTGTTGCCTGTATTTTGCACTGAGGAGAGTGCTTCAAGAATGAGTTTAAATTGGGTCCTCGATATCGTGGTTGTGTCACAGGGGTAGAAAAAATTTCAGAGATAAAACATTGCGGTGAGTTTTGGTCGGTCAAAAAAGGTTATTAAGGATTTGGAGGCAATTCAAACATTGTGTTTGAAGGAAACGTAAAAAAGTAGGCGAAAGTTGAGAATATGAAGTTTTGATACTCCAGCTTTGGACTTAGAAATCAGACTCATCATGGATAAACTCTCGTGATAAACTTTAATAAAATATTTTATTTCAGGGTTATGCTCCTTTCCATTTGTTGTCTGGATTCCATTTGTAGACGGACGTTTATTTCTGGTTTCGAATGCGATATCTTTAGAGCTTGCAAACAGTTCGTTTTTTCTTAGCAGTTCCGGAAACCGCTACTATTATAGATTTGTGACTGCAATGAGCCTTTTCTGGCAAAGCAGAAACGTGGATCTTACTTGCTTATAAATTTGCAGAAATGTGGATCTTTTTGCAAGCTCAGATGCCTTACCAACGAAACCATTGGAATACATAACAGAAAGCGCAGTCGGGTGGGACTAGTGGATATAATTTTGTGAGCGAAAAAGGTAAATGAGATCCATTTGCTAGGCTCTACCCAATAATTTCTGCTCCAAAAGGAACTCGCAATATTTCCAATCCGCATATCCTCATAACCCGAGTTTAGATTACGGTGATGTATCTGTCCCATCAGATGGGGTTGGCAGCACCAGGCTTGTCGGACTACACTCCTCCGTGAACTACGATCTTGCTTATCAGTGTGTGTAAGACCAATTAACTCTTAGTCTTCTGGATGGGGGATCGCCATCTTTCTGACCATTTTAAGCCTTCAAGTAAACTGAGCTTAGTGAGCATGTTCAAACCATCTGAGACGTCTGCTCCGAAGGACGTTGATAACGTCACAAAAGCCGCGTTTATCCAGAAGTGCACTTGGGTCATGAACACTGGGTTTAACCCACCAAACCCAACGGATCATCGCACAGTCTTTCGTCCGAGTCCTTGCATCAAATCTGATACGTTGGGACCCCATGTTTCACTGCCATGGTCATTATTTTAAAAAAAAACGACGATGGAGTGCGCATCTGGAAATGACAAATAGCATTATTTAATTACATCTACAAACTGTATATAACTACATGAACTCAAATATCGGTACTTAACGTTCAAATGTCGATTCTTTGGCAATTTAATTTTACCGCGCTTCGTCTACTATTGCACTTAAAGATGTATCATTTATCTGCATTTAGTATGTTCCTTCAACTGATTTTGGAGAAGAGTTCTGCATTCTGTTTCAGGTACTATGACAGACAATTACATTGGATCTTTTGTTTATTTTATTTCCTGCATTTTCTGATGGCTCAAATATGTTTTTAATCAAAATGCCAGGTAATAGTCCTAGTGTTTTCCATGTTAAATTATGTTAACGAGAAACTTTCGCAGATATTTTAGTTTATCTATTGCGCTACCGTCGTCAGCTTGCAATTTCGGTGCCATATTATCTTCCTTCAAAAGCTATATCACGGAATACCAATCTGTATTTTGCCATTCCAGCTTTTTTAATGTTAGAGGGTCTCAGGATTTAAGTAAGAGCTCTTTATTGCTGCGAGATATGTTCAAAAATATGTTCAAAACTGTTCAGTGTGTCTAAAAGCCAGGTCTGAATTAAGAGAATTGAAGTAATTTTTAGCGTCTATCAGTAGAACAAAACCGGTTTCGTTTTTCTGGTATTATTTCCTGGGCGTCATCAAATTAGCGGGACAATTCATAAGTTGTGTTAGCAAGACAACAGTCAAGTCTGTTGAACGAGAAGTCGGTGCTATGACGGCAGAACATTTGGAAGTCAGATTAGGATTGCGGTTGGGTGTGACAATGAGAGTGTATGGGTACCCAAACCTATTTGAACAGCGCACGAGTATGACAATATACGTTGCATTCTATAGCTGTGTTGTTAGACGTCTGGGTTGTTTTTGGGATGATAAGTGTTTTGATAACATAAAAAAGATT